GTGTTCAACATAATTTTTTTAATTTTTTGTTCACGTCAGGAAACAAATCTATATCACAGAATAATAGTGGGTAAATAAATAACAAAAATAAAAAAAAAACATATCTTGTGTTAGACGTTTCGTGACGAATTACATTAAGTCTCAGTATAATTCTGATTTAGATAATGAAGGTCTAATGTCAAGAGAATGTATACTTATCAAGGAGAAAATATATTGAAAGTGCACTAATTCCGGAAATATTTTCCGTAATGTCACACATATATCTGCTTTCTCGTGATTTTACAATGTAGAAATAAGAATAAAAACAAAAGCAACAGCTTTAAATTGGGCAAGGTTATGAATACAAAAAAAATGTAATATTGTAATTCAAATGTAAGCGCCCCGATATATTTAGTGTTTCTCGAAGGAAAATACTAACTGGCGTTGTTTTATTTATTACTCTCTCTATTAAACTGAAGAATTTTTTTAGCAGGCCGAAAGAAGTATCGTATTTTTTATTTGACATTTATTTTATCCCCCATATATATATATATATATATATATATATATATATATATATATATATATATATATATATATTTGTCGAAATTTAGCTTAGCAACAGCCAAACTCAGTTCAAAAAGGTTGGGAAACTTTGTCCTTACGTCCAATGACGGGAATCCTGCGTAACACAGTTAACAGAGACCTGAAACCATCAATATACAACCATAACAAGCGAGATAAAGAAGAAGGAAAAACCACTTGAAATAGCTATAAAATTTATTGAGGGAAAAGGAAAAAAATAAAATGAGGGGGGGAGTCTGATGTTAAAGTTCACTGGTACAACTTGAAAATAACTGCCAAAAACGTCCCATTGGCGAGCCCTAAAAAAGGACTCCAATAACAGTTCAGAGAGAGTGAAAGAGGTAGAGAGATAGCAGAAAGAGGGGGGGGAATTAGTCTTACTGTTCAAAAAAAAAAAATAGCTTTAGTATTTTTTTTTAAGTAGCTGAGCAGAAAGGTTTTTAGATATTTTTTGAGTTGCTCTCCATGGAAGATAAGCAAGCTTCCTGTTAAAAATAAATGCAGACTTGTTTTTTCAAACTTTCTCTGCGACACAAATTCAACTTCTAGAGACGACTTAGAAGATCTTTTTTTTCACATACTTTTTTTTCACGTCAGGATTTCGTCCACCAATAGGACAAAATAATTCCTCGAAGGAAGGTAGCTTTTCAATCGCTTAATTTTGACTTTTTTCTCTCTTCGACCCGATTGTCGAAAGAAGACTTCCTTGAGAAGGTTCTATAGTAAATTCTCTTTACAATAATTTCTTTAATTGATTTTTTTAGATAATTCTTTACTGACTTGTTCTTTGGTTGCTGAACAATAATCCACTTGATTACTAGAACAGACTTGACTTCACTTATCTAGAGAATAAGCTTTTTCTACACGGCGAACACACTTGTTCTTTATCTTCAATTCTCTTAGACAAATATTCTTGACTAGTCTTTTATGACTGTTTTCCTTGTCAGAGCAACAACAGGTTATCTTCAAGCGGGTTTTCTTTTTGTCGCAAGACAAGACGACTTATCGTCTCCACACTGCGGCGCACTTTTCTCTGCTACTACTGACTAGATTCCTCTAATCTAGTCGAAAACAAGCGGGAAAATCACGTACGACCAATCGTTAGACACGATTTCGCCACGTGACAAAGCAGCAGCAGTTCTTACACTGCACACAGGGGGAAAAGGAGAGGAAGAAGTAAAGTAAGAGAGATAGAAAGATAGATACAGAAATTAAATTTCTGACAATATATATATATACGTGTGTGTATATATATATATATATATATATATATATATATATATATATATATATATATATTTATATATACGTGTATATATATGTATATATATATATATATGATAAAAATATAGATTTAATGCATGCTGTATTAACACGTAAAATGCTCAGTATCAGAGATAGAGCTTCTCTCTGTCTCTGTCTCTCCCTCTCTTTCTCTCACTCTCTCTCTCTCTATATATAAAAGTGAACAGAGAAGTCAACACTTAGAGCGACAGTCTCTTTCAGGCTAGATGTAATCGTCAGACCAGTCGGTGGCCTGACGATTGCATCTAGCATGAAACAGCCTGTTGCCTCTAAGTGTTGACTTCCATGTTCACTTTTATATTTACACACGCTCTATCTCTGATATTGAGCACTTTATGCCATAAATATAGCACATCTTGAGATTATATTTCTTCATATATATATATATATTCTCTCTCTCTTCATATATATATATATATATATATATATATATATATATATATATATATATATACAGGGTGACACAAAACGTCGGGAATTTTTTGAAGTGCGTATTGTCAGACATGAGCAAGTGGCAACACTGCGTGACAGTGACCTTGAGCAAGTAAAGAATTCGTCATTTAGAATTCAAGATGAAATTCACAGTATCCCAGCTGAGATGTTGCAGCAGTCAATGAGGAATCTCAACAGCAGATTTCAAGAATGCATTCGTACAGGAGGACGCCATCTACACGACGTAATTTAAAAAAAAAATGAAAATTCCATCATTGTTTCTTAAATGGCATGTTTTAAGGTTTCAATTAGTCTGAATAAAATATTTTTCTTCCATCACTCTTGGTTTTATTGGATTGTTAAATAGTTCCCGTTTTTTTGGGGTCGCCCTATATAAAGAGTGTTCCAATAACTTGAATCGAATTTAAATGTGAATTAAGTTTAAGAGTGTTTTTCTTTTTCTTTCAGATTTAACAATTTAAGTCTTTGTCAATTTCAACCATGGGAAGGTTAACAATCAAACAACGTGTTAAAGTTCCAAGAGTGCAATTGGAATAATTGTTCGTAAATTCAAACAAACTGGGTCTGTGGAATATATGAAAACATCATTGCGTGCTCGTTTACGCCGTTCAGCTGAAAATATTGCTGCTGTGTACGAGAATCCGGTCGAAAGTCCAGACACCTCTATTCGTCGTCGAGGGCAGGTATTGAACCTCTCCATAACAACGTTACATCGAATTTTAACAAAGATTTGTCTCTACACGTTTGTAAAATTCAATTGACACAAGAACTGAAACTTGCTGACCATTTGGAGCGCCGTGCATTCGTCAATTAGGTGCATGAGCAAAGACATGCCGATTAAGATTTTTCTCAAAAAATCTTCTTCAGTAATGAAGCCCATTTTCATCTTGTTGGATTCGTTAATAAGCAGAATTGTCGTATTTGGACTAATGAAAATCCAAAGAAGGTTCTTGAAAAGCCACTGCATACACAAAAAGGTGACTGTTTGGTGGGCATTTTTTTTTTCATTAGGCCGTATATCTATAAATTCGTACGTTCATTCTCGTAAAAGGCTTATATAGATTTAACATGGGGTTTAATTGTTAATCTTTCCATGGTTGAAATTGCCAAAGAATTAAGTTGTTAAATATGAAAGAAAATGAAAAAAAGTCATTAGACGTTTAACTTAATTCACATTTAAAATCGGTCCAAGTTATTAGAACTCCCTTTATACATACATACATATATATATATATATATATATATATATATATATATATATATATTTAATCGACGGCACGAAGGAGTTATGGCTGACGACCACATTAGGTTGAAGCACGAGTTCTCGTATGATCATCGAGGTAAACCAACGTCGAGGAACCTTGTCAGTATCTAGATGGGTCAGTATTTGTGAATACCAGGTGCGGGATCCTTGGATGTGAGCTTGGTGTAATGGATAATAGCTCGGAATTGTTAATAGGACAGTTCCGTTCTAATTCCAATCGGGTTCGTTATATTCACTTACGCGCAAATACCCTTGGCAAAGGTATGAATCCACCCATTCTCCCCCAGCTATGGGTTAATGAGTAAGACGTGTATCACTAAAACAAAAATCATACAATCTAAAAAATAACATGCAAAGGGTTGTTAAGCCGTTGAAAACGAATCAATAAATCAATCACGAAGCGGTTATTGGTAGCCATATAGATATGAAGGGGGCTGAAAAAGCTATAACAAAAATCGATATCAAACTGTTGTAGAATAGCTAGCAATCCCTTTCAGTACATTACCAGATGGCCTGGCTCATAGCCTTAAATAGTATACGATTAAAGACTTCAAAAGTTGATTAATAAGTTAATACTAAGCTGATTAATATTCGGACTTATCTTACTTTGTTTGGCTATACAGCATTTGAGCCTCCTCTATTCCTTGTAAGTTGTCTTGTTAATTGTTTTGCAACTTATTGTTCCGTGTTTTTGTATGAATCCGTTAGCAGCGGATACTGGTGATGAATAAATATATTAAGCTCCCATTCTGCTCTGTGTATCATTCACCTCGATGATACAACCCAAACAAGCTGAATATATTAGACAGTTTCTGTGACATTATTTATGACGCTAAACAGGTGATTAATATTAAATGCAAGTGAGGTACTCTTAAATGCAAGTGAGGTACTCTCATTAGGTCAGTGCGTTATTCAGTGTTGTTATTAAATTTGTATATGGATGAGCGAATGGTAAATATTGTGATCTGAGTACCATATAGTTGAGATTCGTTAAGATTTATTCATTCGCTGGAAGATCAAAATTAAATTCAAAATTCGCAAAATGAAAACTACATTATATTTTTATTTCGAATTATTGTGAAATTAAATTTTCATTGTTTTTAATATATTACTGAAAATTTAACAAGTTTAGACTTCTCGAAAGGGAAGCAGTTCTTCGAATCTTTCGTAACAAGAATAACATTGACATTTTTATAACTTTTTAAATTATCTCAATTCGGGAACAGATAAGCGTTATCGGCCCTGTTTTCGTCTATATTTGTTCCTTGAAAACATTGTATCCGCCGATGTGAATATCTCTGCTTGACGCAATAATGTATTCTTCATCTCTTTGTGACTCACGGGGATGACAAATCGTTCTTGAGTCTTTCAGTTCGAGCAACTCTCCTTTGAATGCTTCCGTAATATTGTTCAGTGTCTTTCACAAGGAAGACGCAGGGGCGTCGGGAGACCGAATTTGGCAATCTCTCATTGGACGCCGATTATAGCAGCCGGCTTTTATTTTGTCATTGCATCTCTCAAGTAAACATTGATAAAATATTTCGACCGATTGCATAAGATAAAAAAATATCCCCGGGGAAAGAATCAGATCACAACAGACAGAAACTTTTAAGTTTTAACAGCGGACTTGTGAAGTTGGCGAAATAGTTGTGTATTTTCCACTGGTTTCAATTGGTCTGCTTTTGTATTCAGGTAAAAAGCAAGAATTTCAACTACTAATGTCTTTCTCACCTGTAATGTTTCTTATGATATATTATTTCTTCCTCGAATCCATGTATTTTTACAATGATCTCTATTTAGGTAATTAACATAAGAATGTCGTGTGCTGATGCTGAGAAAGTGTCATGGCGTTTCCGAGCTGCAATATTCAGATGTGATAGAACTACGGAATGAAGAACATCAGAAAATTTATCATAAAAAAGCATTAGAAATTTCGGCAGATGTGCCTTTCAGAAATTCTTACAGTACCGTTCACGAAACATGCTCTATTTTTTTAATCGTTTCATGCAAAGCAAAGGAGGGAAAATAAATATGAAAATGAAAACGAAAGTGAAAGTGAAAATGAATATGAAAGTGAAAACGAAAGTGAAAATGCAAATGAAATTAAAATTAAAATCAAAATCAAAGTGAAAGTAAAAGCGAAAATGAAAATGAAAGTGAATGTGAGAACATTGAAAGCGAGGAGGATTATGGAAAGGAGAAAAATGGAATAGGAGACAAAAGATGGCAATTGACGTTGCATTTAAATTTTTGAAAATTGTAGTTATCAGGAAACTGAGAAATCGCAAGGGAGTTCCACAGGTGGCAAGTACGAGAAAAAAAGCTGTTAACTTAGAAATGACAGTTGCATCTTGTAAACTGTGAGACCTGAATGCCGATCTAGCTGTACTTTTAAATTCATGGAGTTGGAGCACCAGGAAAAAAAACTCATCACAGCAGTTGCCATGAAAATATTTGTAAAAAAGACAGCGGGAAGCCACATCACGTGGCTGAGGAAGTGACTGAAGACGAGATGCTTGGAGAGCATCGATTGCATTCCAGATCCTTCTCTGGATGTTATCAAGAATGCACAATAAGAGCACCAGGCCAGATATTTTTAAGCATTTCACCCCAAGCAAGGCGGGAGTGCGACTACCACACAAGGGGTGACAGCGAGTTGGAGCAAGAGTAAAGAGACGTCATTGAGGAAAGGATAAAGAAGACGAGGAAAATGATCAAGGCATCAGAAGATGTCGATTGACATTAGATTTGAATATTTGAAGACTATAACTGCCAATGAAGCAAGTAAGAGGAAGGAAGTTCCACAGACGGGTAGTGCGAGACATGAAGCTATTGGAGTAGAAGAGACGGCTACATTTAATCGTTTCAACAGTAAAAGGGTGGGACTGAGATGCCGACCTAGTAACACGCTTAAATTCATGCCGTTTGAGAACCTTCGAAAAGAGCTCGTCGGAGCAGTTGCTGTGAATGTACTTGTAAACAAAACAGTGGGAAGCGCCGGCACGTCTGTGAGAAAGTGACTGTTGGTGAGATGCCAGACCAAGACCAACCACACTGCATATTCCGTCTTTGGATTTGTGGCAACAGAATTCAATACACGGACGAATGGTAGATTTATAAATATGCAAGATGGATTCTAGCGGGAAAATTGTTTTTGCACGACACAAGAAGAAAACCTTCCTTGCAGCAAACCTTCCTTGCAGCAAACGTAGCAATTGACTCGATATAGACACCTCACTACATTGCAAATTGCGTCGACTACATTAAACTACTTTAAATTGTAAATAATTGCTGGTTTACAAATGGATGTTTCACGTCGTGTTTTCTACAGGTGAAACATTGCTGAAGATATATTTATTTTAAAGCAATGTTCTGGAATGAGGTCGAAACATATATAGAAACATTTCTAGACATAAATGACTATAAACTATGCACAAGCTTTCTGTATCCGACTACTTCTAACAATGATAATGTTGTGGAATGATTTCACAGTGGAGGCTTGTATTTGTACTAAGTCGGTCCTAAAATAGGTTCGACGTACAAAACGTTAGGAACTTGATATAATAGGTATAACGCAGAGTAATTTAGTTGTGGTCGCTGATACTTTAGTATCCAGCTTTTAAGTGGGTTACCCGTTATCTCCTCTGCTTCTCTTGTCTTCAATATACCTTGTGAGTGTTAGATTCTCCACACACTCTTTCCTTATTATGTGTCCCTCACTTTTTAATTGGGTTACCGATTATCTCCCCTGCTTCTCTTGTCTTCAATATGCCTTGTGAGTGTTAGATTCTCCACGGTCACTTTCCTTACTATATTCCCCACAATCATTTAGTAGGCTACCCGCTGTGTCATCTGCTTCTCTTGCCTTATGTGTGTTAGATTCTCTCAGCTTTCTCTCCTCATTATATGACCTAGAAATTTAATCTCTTTTTGATCATATGCATACTTTTTCTTTTTTGAATTTTCCATAAGACTTACTCGTTGCGCACATTTTCTGTCCATGGTATTCGCACCATTCGTCGGTGGTACCCTATCGATGCCTTTTCTTTGTTTTTAAATATAATACATTGTTTTTCAGACAAATTGTTTATCAGACACCTCAGTTGTTGAATTACGAGATTAATATTACCAGACGAATTTTTCTGCGACGTATCTACCAGTACCAATGATATTAACGGATCAGACATACATTCCTTCAAGGTAAGATTTTACATCAAGCTTCAGCTATTTTTTAAAAAATATATATATTCGCAGGTGCGTATCGGTATGTAATGAAGTCTTTCAATTTTATAATCTTTGAGAGAAATTTTTAGTGAAGGTTTCTGTCGAAGAATATAAATGTTAACTTACCGCCTCAGACGAATGAATGAAACAAGAAGACAGGTCTGTCCATATATCTGAGATGAGGTATTGTAATTATTTACGTTATTTACATTGTTCGGACTGTTAGACAAAAATCTTTATTGACAAATTCACAACGTTTCGACCATTGTGTGCTCCGGCCTTCTTCAGGATCTGTCTATATTACAGAGATGAGGTATTGTAATTATTTAGATCGTTCGGATTGTTGTCCTCATCTTTATTGCCAAATTCACCACGTTTCGATCATTGTGTGCTCCGGCCTTCTTCAGGATCTGTCTATATTTCAGAGTTGAGGTATTGTAATTATTTATATTACTTACCTTGTTCGGACTGTTCACCTCATCTTAATTGCAATGTTCACGATGCGTGGCCCAGTGAATAAAAGCGTTGTTTGGATCCAGCAGCTTGACCCAAAGTGTTGTGAGTTCAATATTTGCCTACAGCAGTGGTGAGCCAAAACCTGGAGTTAAAGGGAGATAACTGAGATATTCGGAAGAGGCATGGCCCGTAGAACTAGAAAGATCTTCCTCAGTGGATGAAGTAAGCTCGAAATTCCAATCACCTGAAGAATGCCGGAGCCTACAACAACCGAAACGTCGTGAATATGGCAATAAAGACGAGGATAACAGTCCGAACAATGTAAATAAGAATAGAGGTCTTCGAATTCAAGAAGAACACAAGACAACAATATTTATGTATACAGGGTGCTGCACAAATATTTCCATCATATAACCCCCATCGTCAGAACTAGCGCGACAAAATGGCAAGAGAGGATGTGGTAGAAATACCATATTTTAAATTTCCACCTGTATGATGCTAGCGAACTTAAAGTGCCAATGGTGTCTTCAACTAGTTAATGCTTTACCATTATGTGGCAGGTATTCCTGGAAGGTATAGGTGGGAGGTATTTCTCTCCCACTCTACAGAATGGATGAACTACGAAAAATAAACAAGACCTTGAGAAGAAAATGGAGAGTTCATTACGTAAGTATATAATGAAAGATTTCAGAATTTGGATCAACGGCGTTGAATATTTTTTATTTCCTCGACAAAATCCAGAGACGGATATTCAGTGTGATAGGTATCGATCTGGCATCTTGTCTAGAGTCACTTTCTCACAGACGTGCCGTGGCTTCCCTCTGCCTTTCTACAAATATTTTCATAGCAACTGCTCTGAAGACCTTTTACTGGTACCTCAACGGCGGGATTTGAAACGTGCTACTAGTTGGCATCTCGGTCTCACCCTTTCTTTTTCGAAACCTTTAAATGTAACCGTCTCTTCTACTCTAACAGCTTCTTCTCTTGCACTTCCCGTCAGTGGAACTCCCTTCCTCTTACTGGCTTCCCTGATGGCTATAATCTTCAAATATTCAAATGTAACGTCAATCGACATCAACGATTTACCGTCCTTCTCTATATCCTTCCTTCGAACACCCATTTTACTCTTGCTTTTACTCTCTGTAACCCACTGCTTTTCTTAGAGTGAAACGCTTAAAAACATATAATACTAAAATTCTGTGATTCGTGTTTGTGTGGTGCGTCGTCCGTCCGGCGTATAATAATGATTTAAGTTTCTTTCCACCTCTTTCTCTTTCCACCTCTCTCTTTCCACTTCTCTCTTTCCGCCTCTCTCTCTCTTTCTCTCTCTCTCTCTCTTTGTACCTCCCACTTTCCACCCCTCTCGCTTTCTACGTCTATCTTTCCACCTCTCTCTTTCTTTCTGTCTCTCTCTCTCTTTGTACCTCTCACTTTCCACCCCTCTCGCTTTCTACGTCTAACTTTCCACCTCTCTGTGATCGCGTGCGTGATTGCGTGGTGCGTCCGTTCAGCCTATAATGATTTAAGTTTCTTTCCACCTCTTTCTCTTTCCACCTCTATCTTTCCACCTCTCTCTTTCTTTCTGTCTCTCTCTCTCTTTGTAACTCTCATTTTCCACCCCTCTCTCTTTCTACGTCTATCTTTCCACCTCTCTGTGATCGCGTGCGTGCTTGCGTGGTGCGTCCGTTCAGCCTATAATGATTTAAGTTTCTTTCCACTTCTTTCTCTTTCCACCTCTATCTTTCCACCTCTCTCTTTCTTTCTCTCTCTCTCTCTCTCTCTTTGTACCTCTCACTTTCCACCCCTCTCTCTTTCTACGTCTATCTTTCCACCTCTCTGTGATCGCGTGCGTGCTTGCGTGGTGCGTCCGTTCAGCCTATAATGATTTAAGTTTCTTTCCACCTCTTTCTCTTTCCACCTCTATTTTTCCACCTCTCTCTTTCTTTCTCTCTCTCTCTCTCTCTTTGTACCTCTCACTTTCCACCTCTCTCTTTTCTACGTCTATATTTCCACCACTCTGTGATCGCGTGCGTGCTTGCGTGGTGCGTCCGTTCAGCCTATAATGATTTAAGTTTCTTTCCACCTCTTTCTCTTTCCACCTCTATCTTTCCACCTCTCTCTTTCTTTCTGTCTCTCTCTCTCTCTTAGTACCTCTCATTTTCCACTCCTCGCTCTTTCTACGTCTATCTTTCCATCTCTCTGTGATCGCGTGCGTGCTTGTGTGGTGCGTCCGTTCAGCCTATAATGATTTAAGTTTCTTTCCACCTCTTTCTCTTTTTCCACCTCTATCTTTCCACCTCTCTTTTCTTTCTGTCTCTCTCTCTTTTGTACCTCTCATTTTCCACCACTCTCTCTTTCTACGTCTATCTTTCCACCTCTCTGTGATCGCGTGCGTGCTTGCGTGGTGCGTCCGTTCAGCCTATAATGATTTAAGTTTCTTTCCACCTCTTTCACTTTCCACCTCTATCTTTCCACCTCTCTCTTTCTTTCTGTCTCTCTCTCTCTTTGTACCTCTCATTTTCCACCCCTCTCTCTTTCTACGTCTATATTTCCACCTCTCTGTGATCGCGTGCGTGCTTGCGTGGTGCGTCCGTTCAGCCTATAATGATTTAAGTTTCTTTCCACCTCTTTCTCTTTCCACCTCTATCTTTTCTCTTTCTCTCTCTCTCTCTCTCCATCTCTCTCTTTGTACCTCTCTGTCCTTTTCCACCCCCCTCTCTTTCTACGTCTATATTTCCACCTCCCTGTGATCGCGTGCGTGCTTGCGTGGTGCGTCCGTTCAGCCTATAATGATTTAAGTTTCTTTCCACCTCTTTCTCGTTCCACCTCTATTTTGCCACCTCTCTCTTTCCGCCTCTCTCTCTCTCTTAATCTCTCTCTCTCAATTTCTCTCCCTCTCTCTCTCTCTCTTTTTCCTTATCTTTCCACCCCTCTCTTTCTGTCTATCTTTTCCACCTTCTCTGTGATCGTGCGTGCTTGCGTGGTGCGTCCGTTCAGCCTATAATGATTTAAGTTTCTTTCCACCTCTTTCTCTTTCCACCTCTATTTTTCCACCTCTCTCTTTCTTTCTCTCTCTCTCTCTTCTTGCCCTCTCATTTTCCACCCCTCTCTCTTTTCTACTTCTATATTTCCATCTCTCTGTGATCGCGTGCGTGCTTGCGTGGTGCGTCCGTTCAGCCTATAATGATTTAAGTTTCTTTCCACCTCTTTCTCTTTCCACCTCTATCTTTCCACCTCTCTCTTTCTTTCTGTCTCTCTCTCTCTCTTAGTACCTCTCATTTTCCACTCCTCGCTCTTTCTACGTCTATCTTTCCATCTCTCTGTGATCGCGTGCGTGCTTGTGTGGTGCGTCCGTTCAGCCTATAATGATTTAAGTTTCTTTCCACCTCTTTCACTTTCCACCTCTATCTTTCTACCTCTCTCTTTCTTTCTGTCTCTCTCTCTCTTTGTACCTCTCATTTTCCACCACTCTCTCTTTCTACGTCTATCTTTCCAACTCTCTGTGATCGCGTGCGTGCTTGCGTGGTGCGTCCGTTCAGCCTATAATGATTTAAGTTTCTTTCCACCTCTTTCTCTTTCCACCTCTATCTTTCCACCTCTCTCTTTCTTTCTATCTCTCTCTCTCTTTTTCTTTCTCATTTTTTCCACCCTCTCTCTTTCTACGTCTATATTTCCACCTCCCTGTGATCGCGTGCGTGCTTCGTGGTGCGTCCGTTCAGCCTATAATGATTTAAGTTTCTTTCCACCTCTTTCTCGTTCCACCTCTATTTTTCCACCTCTCTTTCTTTCTCTCTCTCTCTCTCTCTCTCTTTCTCTTCTCTTTCTTTTACCTCTCACTTTCCACCCCTCTCGCTTTCTACGTCTATCTTTCCACCTCTCTGTGATCGCGTGCGTGCTTGCGTGGTGCGTCCGTTCAGCCTATAATGATTTAAGTTTCTTTCCACCTCTTTCTCTTTCCACCTCTATTTTCCACCTCTCTCTTTTCTTCTCTCTCTCTCTCTCTCTTTCCTCTCCATTTTCCACCCCTCTCTCTTTCTACGTCTCTATTTTCCACCTCTCTGTGATCGCGTGCGTGCTTGTGTGGTGCGTCCGTTCAGCCTATAATGATTTAAGTTTCTTTCCACTTCTTTCTCTTTCCACCTCTATCTTTCCACCTCTCTCTTTCTTTCTGTCTCTCTCTCTCTCTTAGTACCTCTCATTTTCCACTCCTCGCTCTTTCTACGTCTATCTTTCCATCTCTCTGTGATCGCGTGCGTGCTTGTGTGGTGCGTCCGTTCAGCCTATAATGATTTAAGTTTCTTTCCACCTCTTTCTCTTTCCACCTCTATCTTTCCACCTCTCTCTTGCTTTCTTTCTGTCTCTCTCTCTTTGTAACCTCTCTCTTTCCACCCCTCTCTCTTTTCTACGTCTATCTTTCCACCTCTCTGTGATCGCGTGCGTGCTTGGGTGGTGCGTCCGTTCAGCCTATAATGATTTAAGTTTCTTTCCACCTCTTTCCTTTCTCCACCTCTATCTTTCACCTCTCTCTTTCTTTCTGTCTCTCTCTCTCTTTGTACCTCTCATTTTCCACCACTCTCTCTTTCTACGTCTATCTTTCCACCTCTCTGTGATCGCGTGCGTGCTTGCGTGGTGCGTCCGTTCAGCCTATAATGATTTAAGTTTCTTTCCACCTCTTTTCACTTCCACCTCTTTTTTTCCACCTCTCTCTCTCTTTTTCTCTCTCTCTCTCTTTGTACCTCTCATTTTCCACCCCTCTCGCTTTCTACGTCTATCTTTCCACCTCCCTCTGTGATCGCGTGCGTGCTTGCGTGGTGCGTCCGTTCAGCCTATAATGATTTAAGTTTCTTTCCACTCTTTTCTCATCCACCTCTATCTCTTTCCACCTCTCTCTTTTAATCTGTCTCTCTCTCTCTTTCTCTCCTCTCTCTTTTCCACCCCTCTCCTTTCTACGTCTATCTTTCCACCTCTCTGTGATCGCGTGCGTGCTTGCGTGGTGCGTCCGTTCAGCCTATAATGATTTAAGTTTCTTTCCACCTCTCTTTCTCTTTCCACCTCTATCTTTCCACCTCTCTCTCTTTCTTTCTGTCTCTCTCTCTCTCTTTGTACCTCTCATTTTCCACCCTCTCTCTTTTCTACGTCTATCTTTCCACCTCTCTGTGATCGCGTGCGTGCTTGCGTGGTGCGTCCGTTCAGCCTATAATGATTTAAGTTTCTTTCCACCTCTTTCTCTTTCCACCTCTATCTTTCCACCTTTCTCTTTCTTTCTGTCTCTCTCTCTCTTTGTTCTCATTTTCCACCCTCTCTCTTTCTACGTCTATCTTTCCACCTCTCTGTGATCGCGTGCGTGCTTGGGTGGTGCGTCCGTTCAGCCTATAATGATTTAAGTTTCTTTCCACCTCTTTCTTTTCCACCTCTATCTTTCCACCTCTCTTTTCTTTCTGTCTCTCTCTCTTTTGTACCTCTCATTTTCCACCCTCTCTCTTTCGTCTATCTTTTCCACCTCTCTGTGATCGCGTGCGTGCTTGCGTGGTGCGTCCGTTCAGCCTATAATGATTTAAGTTTCTTTCCACCTCTTTCTTTTTCCACCTCTATCTTTCCACCTCTCTTTTTCTTTCTGTCTCTCTCTCTCTTTTTGTACCTCTCATTTTCCACCTCTCTCTTTCTACGTCTATTCTTTCCATGTGTGATCGCGTGCGTGCTTGCGTGGTGCGTCCGTTCAGCCTATAATGATTTAAGTTTCTTTCCACCTCTTTCTCTTTCCACCTCTATTTTTCCACCTCTCTCTTTCTTTCTGTCTCTCTCTCTCTTTGTACCTCTCTTTTCCACCCCTCTCTTTCTACGTCTATCTTTTCCACCTCTCTGTGATCGCGTGCGTGCTTGCGTGGTGCGTCCGTTCAGCCTATAATGATTTAAGTTTCTTTCCACTTCTTTCTCTTTCCACCTCTATTCTTTCCACCTCACTCTTTCTTTCTGTCTCTCTCTCTCTCTCTTTTACCTCTCACTTTCCACCCCTCTCTTTTCTACGTCTATCTTTCCACCTCTCTGTGATCGCGTGCGTGCTTGCGTGGTGCGTCCGTTCAGCCTATAATGATTTAAGTTTCTTTCCACCTCTTTCTCTTTCCACCTCTCTCTTTTTTTCCACCTTCTCTTCCATCTCTCCGCCTTCTCTCTGTCTCTCTCTCTCTTTTGTACCTCTCATTTTCCACCCCTCTCTTTTCTAAGTCTATATTTCCACCTCTCTGTGATCGCGTGCGTGCTTGCGTGGTGCGTCCGTTCAGCCTATAATGATTTAAGTTTCTTTCCACATCTTTTCTTTTCCACCTCTATTTTTCCACCTTTCTCTTTCTTTTCTGTCTCTCTCTCTCTCTTTGTACCTCTCATTTTCCACCCCTCGCTCTTTCTACGTCTATCTTTCCATCTCTCTGTGATCGCGTGCGTGCTTGCGTGGTGCGTCCGTTCTGCCTATAATGATTTAAGTTTCTTTCCACCTCTTTCTCTTTCCACCTCTATCTTTCCACCTCTCTCTTTCTTTCTGTCTCTCTCTCTCTCTTTGTAACTTTCTTTTTTCCACCCTCTCTCTTTTCCGTCTATCTTTCCACCTCTCTGTGATCGCGTGCGTGCTTGCGTGGTGCGTCCGTTCAGCCTATAATGATTTTGTCTTTCTTTCCACCTTTTCTTTTTCCACCTCTATCTTTCCACCTCTCTCTTTTTCTTTCTGTCTCTCTCTCTTTTGTACCTCTCACATTTCCACCCCTCTCTCTTTCTACGTCTATCTTTCCAACTCTCTGTGATCGCGTGCGTGCTTGCGTGGTGCGTCCGTTCAGCCTATAATGATTTAAGTTTCTTTCCACCTCTTTCTCTTTCCACCTCTATCTTTCCACCTCTCTTTTTTTCTATCTCTCTCTCTCTCTTTGTACCTCTCATTTTCCACCTCTCTCTCTTTCTCGTCTATCTTTCCACCTCTCTGTGATCGCTTGCGTGCTTGCGTGGTGCGTCCGTTCAGCCTATAATGATTTAAGTTTCTTTCCATTTCTTCTTTTCCACCTCTTTTTCTTTTCTCATTCCACCTCTATTTTCTCTCACCTCTCTTTTTCTTTCTCTCTCTCTCTCTTTCCACCTGTGTTCGCATGCTCTCACTCCGTTCAGCCTATCCCTTTTTATTTCTTTCCCAAGTCTTTCCACCTCTCTCTTTCTTTTTTCCATCTCTCTCTCTCTCTTCTCTCACTTTCCATCCCTCCGTTCAGCCTATAATGATTTCGCGTTTCTTTCCACGTCCGTTCTCCTTAACCATTTTCTTTCTTTCCACTTTCTCTCTTTCCACCTCTCTTTCTCTCTCTTTTTCTCCTCTCTCTCTTTCCATTTTCCACTCTCGCTTTCTTTCTCTCTATCTTTCCATCTCTTCTTTCGCGTGCGTGCTTGCGTGGTGCATCCGTTCAGCCTATAATGATTTAAGTTTTTTCCACCTCTTTCTTTCCACCTCTTTCCACTTCTCTCTTTCCACCTCTCTCTCTTTCTTTCTGTCTCTCTCTCTCTTTGTAACTTTCTTTTTTCCACCCCTCTCTCTCTTTCTAGGTCTATCTTTCCACCTTTCTGTGATCGTGTGTGCTTGCGTGGTGCGTCCGTTCAGCCTATAATGATTTAAGTTTCTTTCCACCTCTTTCTCTTTCCACCTCTATCTTTCCACCTTCTCTTTCTTTCTGTCTCTCTCTCTTTTGTACCTCTCATTTTCCACCCCTCTCTCTTTCTACGTCTATATTTCCACCTCTCTGTGATCGCGTGCGTGCTTGCGTGGTGGGTCCGTTCAGCCTATAATGATTTAAGTTTCTTTCCACCTCTTTCTCTTTCCACCTCTATCTTTCCACCTCTCGCTTTCTTTCTGTCTCTCTCTCTCTTTGTACCTCTTATTTTCCACACCTCTCTCTTTCTACGTCTATCTTTCCACCTCTCTGTGATCGCGTGCGTGCTTGCGTGGTGCGTCCGTTCAGCCTATAATGATTTTAGTTTCTTTCCACCGTTTTCTTTTTCCACCTCTAGCTTTCCACCTCTCTCTTTCTTTCTGTCTCTCTCTCTCTCTTTGTACCTCTCATTTTCCACCCCTCGCTCTTTCTTACGTCCTTTCTTTCCATCTCTCTGTGATCGCGTGCGTGGTGCGTGGTGCGTCCGTTCTGCCTATAATGATTTAAGTTTCTTTCCACTTCTTTCTCTTTCCACCACTCTCTATCCTCTCCTTTCTCTCTTTCTCTCTTCTCTCTCTCCATCTCTCTCTTTCCTCTCTCTCTTCCACCCCTCTCGCTTTCTACGTCTATCTTTCCACCTCTCTGTGATCCGTGCGTGCTTGCATAATAAGCGTCCGTTCAGCCTATCTTGATTTAAGTTTCTTTCCACCTCTTTCTCTTTTCCACTCTCCTTTCCACTCTCTCCCATTTCTCTTCTTTCTTTCTGTCTCTCTCTCTCCGGTACCTCCTCATTTTTCCACCCCTCTTCTCTTTCTACGTCTATCTTTCCATCTCTCTGTTTCCATCTCGTGCGTGCTTCTCTCCTGGTGCGTCCGTTAGGCCTATAATGATTTAAGTTTCTTTTTCCGTCTTTCTCTTTCCATAAGGATTTTCCACCTCTCTTTTCTTTCTGTCTCTCTCTCTCTTTTGTACCTCTCATTTTCCACCCTCTCTCGTTCTACGTCTATCTTTTTTATCTCCTTTCTTTGATCGCGTGCGTGCTTGCGTGGTGCGTCCGTTCCGCCTATAATGATTAAATTTTTTCCACCACTTTCTCTTTCCACCTCTCTCTTTCCACTTCTCTCTTTCCACCTCTCTTTCCACCTCTCTCTGTCTCTCTCTCTTTTGTACCTCTCATTTTCCACCTCGGTGCTTTCTACGTCTATCTTTCCGCCTCTGATCGCGTGCGTGCTTGCGTGGTGCGTCCATTCAGCCTATAATGATTTAAGTTTCTTTCCACCTCTTTCTCTTTCCACCTCTATATTTCCAACTTTCTCTTTTTTTTCTGTTTCTCTCTCTTTGTACCTCTCTCATTTTCCACCCTCTCTCTTTCTACGTCTATCTTTCCACCTCTGTGATCGCGTGGTGCGTGGTGCGTCCGTTCAGCCTATAATGATTTAAGTTTCTTTCCACCTCTTTCTTTTTGCCTCACCTCTCTTTTCCACTTCTCTCTTTCCGCCTCTCTCTCTCTCTCTCTCTCTCTTTCTTTCTCTCTCTCTCTCTTTTGTACCCTCACTTTCCATAATATCGCTTTCACGTCTTCTCTTTCCACCTCTGTGATCGCGTGCGTTTCTTTGCGTGGAGCATCCGTTCAGCCTATAATGATTTAAGTTTCTTTCCACCTCTTTCTCTTTCCACCTCTATCTTTCCACCTCTCTCTTTCTTTCTGTCTCTCTCTCTCTCTTTGTACCTCTCACTTTCCACCCCTCTCGCTTTCTACGTCTATCTTTCCACCTCTCTGTGATCGCGTGCGTGCTTGTGTGGTGCGTCCTTTCAGCCTATAATGATTTAATTTTCTTTCCACCGCTTTCTTTTTACACCTCTATCGTTCCACCTCTCTCTTTCATTCTGTCTCTCTCTGTCTTTGTACCTCTCATTTTCCTCCCCTCGATCTTTCTACGTCTATCTTTCCACCTCTCTGTGATCGCGTGCGTGCTTGCGTGGTGCGTCGGTTCAGCCTATAATGTTTTAAGTTACTTTCCACCTCTTTGTCTTTCCACCTCTATCTTTCCACCTCTCTCTTTCTTTCTGTCTCTCTCTCTCTCTTTGTACCTCTCATTTTCCACCCCTCTCTCTTTCTACGTCTATCTTTCCACCTCTCTGTGATCGCGTGCGTGCTTGCGTGGTGCGTCCGTTCAGCCTATAATGATTTAAGTTTCTTTCCACCTCTTTCTCTTTCCACCTCTATCTTTCCACCTCTCCCTTTATTTCTGTCTCTCTCTCTCTTTGTACCTCTCATTTTCCACCCTCTCTCTTTCTACGTCTATCTTTCCCACCTCTCTGTGATCGCGTGCGTGGTTGCGTGGTCCGTCCGTTCAGCCTATAATGATTTAAGTTTCTTTCCACCGTTTTCTCTTTCCACCTCTATCTTTCCACCTCTCTCTTTCTTTCTGTCTCTCTCTCTCTTTTTCTCCTCCTCTGTCATTTCCACCCCTCTCGCTTTCTACGTCTATATTTCCACCTCCCTGTGATCGCGTGCGTGCTTGCGTGGTGCGTCCGTTCTGCCTATTATGATTTAAGTTTCTTTCCACCTTTTTCTCTTTCCACCTCTCTCTTTCCACTTCTCTCTTTCCGCCTCTCTCTCTTTCTTTCTGTCTCTCTCTCTCTGTCTCCCTCTCATTTTCCACCACTCTCTCTTTTCTTTCCGTCTCTCTTTCTTTCCATCTCTCCCTTGATCGCGTGCGCTTTCACCTGGTGCGTGCGTTTCAGCCTATAATTATTTAAGTTTCTTTCCACCTCTTTCTCTTTCCACCTCTATTTTTTCCACCTCTCTCATTCTTTCTGTCTCTCTCTCTCTCTTTTGTACCTCTCCCCTTTCCACCCCTCTCCTTTCTACGTCTATCTTTCCACCTCTCTGTGATCGCGCTCTGTGCTTGCGTGGTGCGTCCGTTCAGCCTATAATGATTTAAGTTTCTTTCCACTCTTTTTTTTCCACCTCTCTCTCTTTTCCACTTCTCTCTTTCCGCCTCTATCTCTCTCTTTCTCTCTCTCTCTCTTTGCGTGATGCGTCCTCTCACTTTCCACCCCTCTCTCTTTCTACGTCTATCTTTCCACCTATCTGTGATCGCGTGCGTGCTTGCGTGGTGCGTCCGTTCAGCCTATAATGATTTAAGTTTCTTTCCACCTCTTTCTCTTTCCACCTCTATTTTCCACCTCTCTCTTTCTTTCTGTCTCTCTCTCTCTCTTTGTACCTCTCACTTTCCACCCCTCTAGCTTTCTACGTCTATATTTCCACCTCTCTGTGATCGCGTGCGTGCTTGCGTGGTGCGTCCGTTCAGCCTATAATGATTTAAGTTTCTTTCCACCGCTTTCTCTTTCCACCTCTATCTTTCCACCTCTCTTTTTCTTTCTGTCTCTCTCTCTCTCTTTGTACCTCTCATTTTCCACTCCTCGCTCTTTCTACATTTTCCACCCCTCTCTCTTTCTACGTCTATCTTTCCACCTCTCTGTGATCGCGTGCGTGCTTGCTTGGTGCGTCCGTTCAGCCTATAATGATTTAAGTTTCTTTCCACCGCTTTCTTGCTTTCCACCTCTATCTTTCCCACCTCTCTTTCTTTCTTTCTCTCTCTCTCTTTTTGTACCTCTCACAACCACCCCTCTCGCTTTCTACGTCTATATTTCCACCTCCCTGTGATCGCGTGCGTGCTTGCGTGGTGCGTCCGTTCAGCCTATAATGATTTAAGTTTCTTTCCACCTCTTTCTCTTTCCACCTCTCTCTTTCCACTTCTCTCTTTCCGCCTCTCTCTCTTTCTTTCTGTCTCTCTCTCTCTTTGTACCTCTCATTTTTTACCACTCTCTCTTTCTACGTCTATCTTTCCACCTCTCTGTGATCGCGTGCGCGCTTGCGTGGTGCGTGCGTTCAGCCTATAATGATTTAAGTTTCCTTCCAACTCTTTCTCTTTCCACCTCTATTTTTCCACCTCTCTCTTTCTTTCTGTCTCTCTCTCTCTCTCTTTGTACCTCTCACTTTCCACCCCTCTCGCTTTCTACGTCTATCTTTCCACCTCTCTGTGATCGCGTGTGTGCTTGCGTGGTGCGTCCGTTCAGCCTATAATGATTTAAGTTTCTTTCCACCTCTTTCTCTTTTCACCTCTCTCTTTCCACTGATCTCTTTCCCATTCTCTCTCTCTCTCTCGCTATCTCTCTTTGTACCTCTCACATTCCACCCCTCTCTCTTTCTACGTCTATCTTTCCACCTCTCTGTGATCGCGGGCGTGCTTGCGTGGTGCGTCCTTTCGGCGGATAATGATTTAAGTTAATCTATTTTAAGTGAATAAGATTAAAAATACAAGTTGTTTATACAATAAGTATTTTTACTTTAACGTTCTTCAAACTTTCTTTACTCTTGCTCTCAATCCTCTGTAACCCTTTGCGTTCTAGTGGTACTCCCGCCTTGCTTGGGGTGAAATGTATAAAAAAAATATTCTTTGTTCATTTTAGTGCGTGTGTGATTGCCGTCCCAATTTTTGTGCAGGTATCCACTTCACATTTAACCCCTAGAATGGTTGTTAGCGTTGAAAGAAAGAGTCAACACCTTTCACAAGGAAGGTATGACATTGTGTGTTACATGAATCAAAATATTTTCGATTGATTTATTTTATATTCAGCCTGGTGGGATTTTTTCTGTATGCAATTCTAATTCTTCACAGATTTAAATTCCCAAGTGAAATGCTGATTTATAAATATAACCGTGGAAGGAAGTGAGCGTGATCGCAAAATGATAACTCGAAATATTTATTTATTACTTAATATTTTATTCACTCCAATATTTCATTTGTCAGCTGCCGGGAAGTTCACTGTAGCCTGCTAGATGGTTTTTCTCTCCGGAGTCTATCTTACATTTCTATACGTCTACCATTCGTCCATGCTTAGAATATTGCTGCCATATATGGTCCGGTGCTTCTGCAAGCAATCTAGAACTCTTTGATAAAATCAAAAAGAGAATAAAAAATATCATTGATCCCGTCACTTCAGTCCCTTTCATGCTGCCGTGAGATTATCTCCCTTTGCCTTTTCTATAAATACTTTCACGGTAATTATTCGGCTGAGCTATTCATTGGGGTTAGATTTTTAAATTTGTTGTTTTATCCCCCCCCAGACAATGAAACGTCCATATGGGGACTAGTTAGTATTTCATAGAGACATTGCTGTATTATGGTGAATGTAGTATGAAAAGTAAGAATACATTCTTTTCATGTAATATTGTTTTATGTTTGGGTCAGTGTTTGTGGTTAGATACGTTTAACGTTAAGACAGAAGAAGACCGTCCTTTTCCCCATTCCCCATTTTCGCCTTGTGCCACATTTCTGTACGTAGCAGAATAAATATCGCTCTTCGCTATACTGCCTAGACTCTTAGAATTTAAGCGCAGTACTAGACCTGCGACGAGGTTTCACCAATTTGCAGTTGAGCTGGCACAATCCTGATTTTCTAAGGTAGCTTAGATGTGGCAAAAGGCCCAAATGATTGGGAGCACCCACTGAGAATCGAACTCACTACTCAGTCGTAATTGTTCTAGCGAGACTGACCATTACACTGCATAAAGTCTTCCAGTTCGAGATGGCTAGGTGTAACTGTAAATTCTATACTAGCAGTTTCTTTTCTCGCACTTCTCGCTTGTCGAACTCGCTTCCGGCTCCAGTAGACTTTAATCTGCAAAAATTTAAATGCAATGGCCATCGCTATCTGCTGTCCCCCTGATTACTCTTCCTCTTATCTCGCATTAACTATGTTCCTGTTTCTAACTCTTCCACGCCCAGCAACCACTTGTTTCTCAGTGGCTTTACTGCCTTGCTTTGGGTGAAGTCGATTAGAAAAGAAAAGATTACTCTAGATCATACTGTGGGCAACACGCCCTTGTCCTATATGTAGACCTCATATTCTCCGATGATGATGTGTGTGTGCATATGTGTCTGTCTGCCCCTTCTTGTCTAAATAGATATTTATATGTTCCAACTCCAAAGCATACAAATGTTCCCCTCTCGATTCGACCATTGTCAACGGATGAATCATGGATCTCTCTCTTCTCCTGGGGTAAGTTTAGGACATCTCTGCACTGGGCATCCTTTGACGGTCTGCTGTGAAACTTGAGTGCAATGTCTATTCCGACATAATCATTTTTTTCTTCCTGCAAACACATCAGGAACTCACAAGCATACAAATGTTGTCTCGATTTGACCATTGTCAACGGATGAATCATAGATCTCCATTCTCTCCTGAGTAGGTTAGGTCATCTCTGCACTGGACTTCCTTTGACGGTCTGCTGCGAAACTTGTATAATCTTTTTGAATTCTTAATGACGTAACAGATTGTTAAAAGTAGATCATAATCTGGAGAGTTTATTCTTTCTATTCGGAATTTTATAAGGATTTCTTTCTAGTAATTCCGTTCATATGTAGGTGACAAATGTTCACTTACAAGTGAACCACAGTATCTTATACGCATATAGATGCACCCGGAGACAACATGGCTCCATTGAAATAACGGCATTATAAAATTTCTGATTTAACTTTCTTCTGGCAAAATTTTGTAGCCCTTGTATTTTATTTTCATGAAACCACTAATGAAAAAAAAAAAAAAAAAAAACGAGCGATGCATTTGAAGATCCAACGACATGTCACCAAAAATAGGATAGCTTCTGATGTTCGCCAGGTTTACTTGAAGGTTAGAGATTCAATGGATAGGTCAAAGGAAGCCATTTCTAGGAGGTTGCGTGCACAGTCACGGGATGTGACGTGTATGGAAAGAGAAGTGCGTCCGCATTAAAACAGGCCTCGACATTCGAAAATACAATAGCGACCCGAGGAAAGCTAAAAGGTTGCAACGACCGAAAGGTTTTGATTAGAAAGAAAATGAATAAATCATTTTTTTTAAAAAAAAGCACAATGATATTCCGATTGACAAAAAGCAAAATATTACTGATGCCAGAAAGAATATTCTGGTTGCTGTTAGAGTATTGAGAAGACTTGATGTCACTTGATTCCGGGTAGAATAACAACAACAACAACAACAACAATAATAATAATACTAGTAGTAGTAATAATAATAATAAAACACAGACAGAAGAATCAAAACTAACCGCCCAGACATTGTTATTAGAGATCGCACACAAAAAAGGTGTCTCCTTATTGATATGGCAGTCCCTACAGACTGCAATGTATCTTTGAAGAACTTCAAAAAACTATCAAAATACAAATACCTTGAAATTGAAATCTCAAAAATGTGGCTCATGGGAACAACAACAATACCTGTTGTAGCAGAAGCCCTCGGATTGGTTTGAAAAGATTCCAGTAGATAAAATAAAGGGATCCCTGGAAGCCCATGCCTTAAAGAAATACAAAAATTGTTCTCTCGAGTACAGGCCATACCTTACGAAGGGCTTTGTCTATGTAAATTTTTTTTTGCAGTGTAAAACGTCATGATGCCATTTCTAACCCTAGGTCCCTGGGCGAGACCCGGAAAGAAATGAGTAGACATCAGAAATCAAAGGAAATAAAATAATAATAATGATGCAAAACTTACAGAGATGCGCGATTTAAGAAAAGAAAAAAGAAAAGACACAGTGTTTAACAATGCTGGACAATATTTCGATACTATGTTTCTCTTTTTCAAGATGTGCTTGTACAAACGTCGCATGTCTAGAGAGAACGGTTGTAGTGGTAATCAATGCGATAAAGCCAGCTTGAATAGTATGGAACTGAGACAAGAGTACTTGAACTTTTTCGTTAGTTACTAAGAGGGAGTTACTAGTTTGTATACGTAACTATCCTGCTGCATTTTAAGAGGTCGTAATGTCGGTAGATTCTGAATAGTTTTGCAGAATACTCACATTAAGATGTTCGTCGAAATTACAGTAGGTTGTAATAAAATGTTCCACATTGTAGTGTCTGACATCATACCTGTGGCCATTGAATCTTTTATTTAATTTTTCTGTTGGGCAAGCCACATAAATCAAGTCATGTTTGGTACGTTTGGAATCAATACAAATGCAACATTCTGAAGGAATCGTGATGTTTCTCTTTGGATTTCTGATAGAATTTACTTGACACAAGTTGTTACATAACGATCTGGGTTTTCTCCTTCTATGAGTATTTTCTATAAAGGTCCAGAACTTCAATAGAGTTTTGAGTGTAAATGTTTGCATTTCTTATAATTTATCTGATTTGCTAAATAATAATAATAATAATAATAAAAATAATAAATATTAGTCCCAAGGGACTATAAAACTCGGCATGTTAGAGTGGGCCAATATATGCAATAGAAAATATGCCACTTTTATAGGAGGGAAACTGCAAAAAGCTGCTACACTCTTGAGCAAATTAATTGAAACAGCAGCTTTAGTGTCCTTTCTTTCATCATACGTTCCGTTTTTGACCCACAGGAGTGACGGTGTGTAATCACTCTCTATTTTTTCCTCAGAGTAGGTAATTTGCAGTGGTGTGCAGTAATATGAATCTATTTTCAGGGTGTATGATGACATTTTTTACCCTTGAAATATATTGCGTCATCCGTGATTGCATCAGAATTTTATCACGCCCAGACACGATTGTCTTGACTGTTGATTAGTAGTCCTTTGGACATTGTCTGCGATGGAATTTACTCCAAGGAAGCATACGAAAACTGTAACGCTGGACAAAGACAATGGCAAGCCTTACCAGTGAGCAAATCAAAGTACTATCGACTGGCTCGGAAACTCTCTTGATTTAAATCTAATCGAGAATCTGTGGTCAATCTGCAAGGAACGACTTTGTGCAATGGACATACGAAGTACTAACATGTGCACTGGGTTAAGTTTCATTGGAAAAATATGAAAAAAGTAAATAATAACAGAATTATTCGTTATGTTTCAATTAATTTGCACAAGGGTGTATGAACATCACCCTGACCCAGTTATAGACATAGGGCATGTAACAATATTATGGGACTTTACAATACACACAGACAGGACAATCAAAGTTAATCGCCCAGACATCAAAGATCAAAGTTCACAAGAACAGAATGGGCTTTCTTATTGACAAGACAGTTGTAATGTGTCATTGAAGATCTTCAAAATACAAGGATCTTTAAATGGAAATCTCAAAAATGTGTCACATGAAGACATCAATAATTTTAGTTGTAGTTGGAGCCCTCAGATTGAGTGGAAAACATTCTGATAGACTCGTTGAAGGGATTCCTGGTAAACCAAGTCTTAAAGAAATACAAAACATTGTACTCGGAAACACAGCT